CCCCAAAACCCCAAAACCCCAAAACCCCAAAACCCCAAAACCCCTCTGAAGTGTCTCAAAATTGGCATTCTTTATATAATCCTATATTTTTCCACAAGCATGAAGCCTCCCTGATTCCCAGCTAAGAATCTATTGTACTAAACCTGCTAAAAATGTGCTTATTACAATGATTATTTCTCTAACTCCTCTATTCAACTAGTTTGGTCATATTCTACTTCTTGATAAGGCTTAAAAATTCATAGGCATGTCGTACGCAAATTTTGCCGGAGGGTCAAGACCCAAGCAGGAGGTTTACCAGCGAATTGGGTGGGCACCTCATACCTGTATTAGAAAGTCCAGGTAGTCTTCTTAGATCCGAAATTTAGTAGAATTCGTTTAGATATTTTAGATCTTAGTTGTTTTATACTCATATCCTACCTGCTCAGGAATTTAAATTCTGATTCATTGAAGGTCGCATCGACAGGGACGGACTTTAGCAATCCTTCTTCGTTTTCTGCAAATCTTACTGTCTTCCTCCCACTAGACTGAGTTGAATACTTTCTGTAAGGACTAACAAGGTTTGAGCCTAGTGGAGATTTTGTAGGTGTCATCGGGGCATATGGCCTAAAGCTATCAACTCTTTTATAGTCAGCCATAGCATTCTTGTTCCTAAGAGTAGATATTTGGCCAGGTTTATAGTCTGCCATCTCATCTACTGTGTATTCATATACTTTCCTACTCTTCGCAGACAAATTTCTATCTTGAGGAGTTGAAAAGGTATGCCCATATTCTCTATCAGAGTAAAGTCCTTTTTCTTCAGAAGAGTCTTCCTGTAGCTTGTTGAAAGTAATCTCTTCTCCACCCTCTTTTTGGTTGCTATTGGATGCACTGTCAGAGAGCATGTAAGACATTGCATTGCTAAAGGTTAAAGTTAATATAACAAGTTTTTAAGGTATTACCTTAATGTCGCTTCTCTTTCAGTCTTTTTCTTCCCATATCTCCTGATCTTCGGCTTTGTATAACTCGCCCTAGAGACTTCATGCTGGGTTAAAGTCTTGGAGATTTGCTGACTTTTAAGGCTTTTGGCACTCTTACTATACCTGCTGGAGTTCATTACCGAGTTATATCCAATGGATGATTCCTGTCTAGACGGAGTCCCAATGGCGAAGGTCTCTGGTTCGAAGGGTAACCTTTGGGTCGATCCAAAGCTTTCCTCATACTCTTCAATAATTACTTCTGGCTCCTCATAGCTTACATCTTTGAAGTTGGCATAGTGCACAAGATCACTGAAGCCTTGGAGAGCCTGGGTAGTAGAATTCCTCTTTTCAGAGAATTTATTTGAGTAAGTAGTATAGCTTCTTTCTATTCTTGAAGAAGTCTCTTTTGTAGGTGTAGCATTTTTCAAAATAGGCTTTGGAGTCTCTGATTTTATGGAAGATCTACTCACTCTGCTAGTATTACTATGAGGCGTAGGAGTCTTCTTAACAGTAGGCCTATATAGAGGTCTCACAGAATCCCTTGTATTGTAAATACTTCCCCTGTACTTCATTCCGGGCTCTTCACCTCCAAAAGTTTGGTCATTCTTCTCATTATTTTGATTCTTCTTTCTAACAGGGCTTAGGCTAAGGCTGGTATCACTACTGCTTGAGCTGCTTGAACTGCTCGAACTACTATTCTCTCTTTGTCTGGCATATCCAGGTTCAAAATCTCTTTCCTTCTGAGAGAGAAGAGTGGTTCTTCTGATAAGGTCTTTCTCGAAGCTATCTTCCATTTTTATTTTAATATCTTTATTCTGTTGCAGTTTGCTAGTCTTGCTCTTTTTCTTTTTGTTTTTCTTCTTCTCTTTCTTATTCTCCTTGCTCTTTAAGAGGGAAATCCTGCTTTGGCGGATAGTGCCTCTAGAATTCTGAGGTTGGGTGCCTTTAGTGCTAGCTTTCTCTTGCTCATTAATCATTTTATTCAACATCATTGAGTTGCTAATATCTTCATAGACAATCTTCACAGGGAGGTTATCCTCTTTATCGATGTAATCGTAGGCTTTCTTCTTGCCAGAGAGTGTGTAAGAGTAAGATTTCTTATCAGAGGCTGTCTTGTAGTTAAAATTCCTCACCTTTGTGGAGACTAATTCATTCCCTTTGTTTTCATTACGTCCATTCTTCATTTTGAAACTATTTTCACCCGTTTTTGCATCATTTTCCGAAAAAGAAGGTGCCCTTCCTTGAAAAATATGTGAGTTTATAGGATCGAAAGCTGTCCAATCGGGTTTCTTTTTCCATAGACCTGGTCCTGAGAAATCACAGCTTACATCGGACTCTCTGTGTGATGAGCTGGCTTTAGTTTTACCCACCTTCATAATCTCCATTTCCTATGGTGGAGATAGAGCAGCTGTCACTCAGATTATCTTCTGCGGTGTATGTGTGCTTAATACTTCCTCTGTTCCTTCTTGCTGAAGAACGTTTTTGCTTTCCACTACTAAAACCCATTTTTTGTCAAGACTGTTCAATTAAAAATTATTTGGCCGGGGTTTTGGGGTTTTGGGGTTTTGGGGTTTTGGGGTTTTGGGG